CACTCCTCATATAACAAGCCCTCCATCCCTGGGATCATTCTTGTAAACCTCCTCTGGACCACCTCCAAGGTCAGCACATCCTTAGATGCAGGGCCCAAAACTGCTCACAATATTCCAAATGCATTCTGATTAATGCCTAATACATCCTCACCTTATACACCTTATTCTCTCTCCACAGATGCTGTCAGACCTGCTGTGTTTCTCCAGCAATTTCTGTTTTTATTTCAGAATTGTTACAGTGCGGGAAGAGATTTGGCCCATTGTGTCTGCACTGTCTCTCTGATGAACAAACGTGGAACAACAGACATTGTGGATACTTATCTTGCTCTCCTTCAATTTAAATCTACATTTGAAAGGCAGCACTTGTGAAAGTGTAGTCCTCCCTCACTTGTGCTATCATGCCCTGCTACTGTAATCTACTATTGCCAAAGCATGATTAACATTTTGTAACAATCAAAATTAGGGGCTTCCACAGTAGCTCTTTTGGTAGGTTTACAGAATGTTCACCTTCTGCGTTGTGGTACCTGTTTTGTCCTTTTAGTTTGTGTCTTCTATCTGAATTTTCTGTTTCATTAATGCATCAAGATAGTGTTCTTCTGCCTGCTATTTTAACAAGTAGTAGCCAAATTATTTTACACATATTAGAAGACATCACCGTCAAAATGGCAGACTAATTTCTTTTTACTATGCAATGTAGTTTTTAACATGACGGAAACGTAACATGAAGGCCTCAGTGAGTGTTTTGACAGATTCTGGACCCGGTGGACAACAGAATTATGTTCCTTTCCGAGAACTAACTTTTAACACTCAGCACAATGCCAGTTGCCACCAATGACTGGAGTTTTGTAGTCACAATGTATTCTGTTTAGACCTTGTGCTTAAGCACTTCATTTATCAGTACTGACATGTTTGTACTTTGGAGCTGTTTACTGTTACACTACAAGGATGACATGGGAGAACTTGAACAAGTCTTGACTGGATGCGTGTGCCAAAGGTCCTTGATGTCAATTCAAGCACAAGGGCATAGAACATGAATATGACAGCCCTTGAAAAAATATCAGTTTTTAAAACATGCAGTTTGTTTCTAATCATTTGGCATAACTTACAGAACTCTGGATTTCTGAAGATTAATTTTACAAAGAAGATTTTGAGTAATACACAGCATCATTAACTGAATCAAGAGATATATTGCCTTTGTTTCTGAAAAGCTACTACAGTCATCAAGGTCATTCACTGGCACTGGACAGCTTTGTGACTTAACCTACCATCAATCACTCAAACAATTTTTTTATGAGAGAGGATCCCAGACTATCACAAAAGTCTTGTTAAACCCGTTATTTCTATTGATTTCATGTCAGATGAGATATAAAACAGGCTGCTACCTCATTCTGTCATAAGACCATGGCAATTGGAACAGGAGTGGCTGTTTGGCCCCTCAGTTTGGAGGATCATTGAATCCCTACAGTGTGGAAGCAGGCCATTCAGCCCGTTAATTCCTCACTATAGAGATTCTATAATTCAACAAACTCAGTATCCTGTTCCCACTTTTGCCTCATACCTCTTGAACAAATGTCAGTTTTGAAAAGATGCAACTTGTTCCTATTAATGTGGCACAGCTTACAGGCAGTAGATTTCTGCAGATAAACTTTATAAAGCAGAATTTGAGCAATCTCCCCACTAACCCCATTTCCCTGTGGCTTTTCCTTTTTTTAAAGAGTTGCCATACACCATTTTAAGTTACATGTTGCAATTCCATAATCATAACTGGAGGCCATGGTCATGATCGGGAGAGATGGTCCATGTCATCGTAATATCACTGAACAATCATCCAGAAGCCCAGGCCCATGCCGTAAAGACATGGGTCTAATCCACCATGGTGAAATTTAAATTCAATTAATAAATTTTGAATTGAAGGGTACTCCCAGTGATTATGATGTTATCATCAATTGTGATAAAAACCCGTGTGGTTCACTTGTGTCCTGTAAGGAGGTAAATCTGCCATCTTTACCCAGTATGGTCTACATGTGACTCCAGACCCATAGCAATGTGGTTGACACATAACTCCCCTCTGCAATGGCTCTAGCAAGCCTCTCAGTTCAAGGGCAATTAGGGATAGACAACAAATGCTGGATTTGCCATATCACATGAAAGAATAGCGAAAGAGATGGATGAAGTTCCCACTGGACACATATGGAAAATTCTCAATACTACTGACCACAGCTGTATGTGTCCTGTTGTTTTCTGAACTTTTCATTTGCTACATTTAGAGGTGACTAAGTTGCAGTTTTAAAAAAAGTGTAAGGTTGAGCTTGAGCTGTTCACTTGAAATCACTTCCTTCAAAACAATCAACGCGAGATCAAGTGGTCCAAGGCAACAATGTCAATGCAGCTACAGCTTTGAAAGTAGCTAGCAAACAGGTAGCAGCAACAACAGAAAAGAAGGAAATGTCTCTCCATACCAACTCAGTACAGAACCAAATGATACTGTATTGTTTTAATAACATTTGCAAAAAGCTATTTTCTTAGCCACCACCACTAGCCCACTGTTGGTCTAGTTTTAGACTTGGCAGTAGGTGGCAGTTTTACTTAAGGGACCCGATTTCTCATGAAGATTGTTTCAGAATCTGGCAGGGTGTACTGGGAAAGCTTTTCTCATGCAACATTGGCAGTTTGTTTCTATTTTCTCCTCCTTTCGCAGACAGCTTCAGCCTAATCCAGTGGTTACTTCAGTTAAATACCAACTGGATTCTGGTACCTCAAAGACACTTGTAAGTATTTGTACCTGCCACGTGGAAGACAGTAAAGCTGTCTGCTTTTGTATCACACTTTTTACGCAGACAACAGTCCAAATAAGCTTCACAAAGGTGAATGGTCACAAAGAAGGATCCATTTTTATTTCATATTCATTCTTGGAATTCTTTGACAAAATTCTTTGACAAGGTGCCACACAGGAAGCTGCTAAATAAGATAAGAGCCGTAATGTTAGGGGCAAGGTAATGGCATGGAAAAGGATTAGCTGACTGGCAGAAGGCAGAGAGTGAGGATAAAGAGGTCTTTTTTAGAATGGCAGTCAGGGATGAGTACAGTTCCACAGGGGTTATTGTTGGGACTACAACTATTCATGTTATACATTAACAAGCTAGATGAAGGAACTGAGGGCATTGTTGAGTGCAGATGACACAAAGATAGGTGGAGGGACAATGCTGAGGAGGCTGAAGGCTGCAGAAGGACTTGGATAGGGTAGGAAAGTGGCCCAGGAAGTGGCAGATGGAATACAATGTGGGAAAGCATGAGGTTATGCATTTTGGTAGGAAGAATAGAGGCATAGACTATTTTTGAAATGGGGAAAGGCTTCGGAAATCTAAAGCATAAGGTGACTTGGGAGTCCTAGTTCAGGATTCTCCTAAGGCTAACATGCAGGTTCATTTGGCCGTTAGGAAGGCAAATGCAATGTTAGCATTCACTTTGAGAGGGCTAGAATACAAGAGGAGGAATGTACTGCTGAGACTGTATAAGGCTCTGGTCAGATCATAATTGGAATATTGTGAGCAGTTTGTGTCTTGTATCTGAGGAGGAATGTGCTGACCTTGGAGGGTGTCCACAGAAGGTTTACAAGAATGATCCCAGGGATGAAAGGCTTGTCATATGAGGAGCAGTTGAGGACTCTGGGTCTGTACTTGACGGCGATTAAAAGGATGGGGGCGAATCTCATTGAAATACTGAGACACCTGGATAGAATGGACATCAAGATGTTTCCACCAGTAGGAGAGACTAGGACCCAATGGCACAGACTCAGAGTGAAGGGACAACACTTTCGAACTGAGATAAGGAGGAATTTCTTCAGCCAGTTAATATATGGAATTCTTTACCTCAGAAGGCTGTGGAGGCCAAGCCACAGTGAATTTAAACAGAGAAAGATAGTTTCTTGATTAATAAGGGGACCAAAGGTAACAGCAAGAAGGCAAAAGAATACAGTTAAAAAACATATTAGCCATGATTGATTGGTGGAACAGATTTGATGGGCCAAATGGCCTAATTCTGCTCAGAGATAGTAGGAACTGCAGATGCTGGAGAATCCGAGACAACAAGGGTTAGGGTCTGCACCTTGTTGTCTCTAATTCTGCTCATATGTCTTATGGTCCCTTATGGAACGTGAGTGCTGCAAACAAACATTTGTTGCCTTTGCAAAAGTAGTAACAGGGCTTGTTCATGAGCAGTCCATGTGGTAAGTCTGATTGCGCAGTGTATCAGATAAAAGAAAGATGGTGACGTGGTGATAATTTCATTGGACTAGTAATCCAGTGACCCAGATGAATGCTTTGAGGACAGGCGTTCTAATGCCACCACGGAGGCTGAAATGGTCCTATGTAATGGTGCTATGGAGAAAACGATTGGTCATCATAAGAATCCATCTGGTTCAAAGTGTCCTTTGAAAATAAATTCTGTCATCCTCACTTGGTCCAGCCTGTGTGTGACTCCAGATTCACAATAATGTGGTTGAGTCCTAACCTCTGAAACGGCTAAGCAAGCCACTCAGTTCAAGGGTAATTAGGAATGGGCAACTAATGCTGGCCTTGCCAATGACACCCAGATCTCAGGAAAAAAAATAAAGAAAATTAATACAGCTTGGAGGGTCCTGGCCTTCTCTCAGAATCAGGGCATGTAGGAGTAATGCTCCCTCTCCATTACGGTGAGTTCCTGGTCATCAGGTGCAGGGTGCTCCTTCTGTTGCTCTACATGGTGCAGATCTGGTCCGTGCCCTATTGTGGCAGTCTTGTTCCATTTTGTCTGGAGATCTAAAATGGGACGCCATGTATAAACCTTTCTATAAAGGGGGTAAAAATGTACCCAGTAGACACCCTATACCCTAGGTTTGACAACATCAAATGTTACCATGTCTTTTTCCCAATGAGATGGTGGAACCTGTTGGATGGTTCACTGAGCAGAATGTCAAAGTCATTTGGCAGAATATTTCATTGCCAGAGCTTTCAAAACCATACCTTGGTTAGTGGTAAGAAGGGCCCTCCGTGTCATGTCTTTCCTCCTCACCAGGAATCTCTCATAATGCTACTCTTGAGGTGGCTGTAATGTGGAAGAGACAAATGCTCATATTTTTTGTTACTCATTCAAGGGATGTGGGCTTCACTAATGGTGGCATTCCCATGTATCTGCTAGGTGGTAGTGGTCATGGGCTTTGAAGATGATATCTAAGGAGCCTTGGTGAATTTCTGTGGTGCATCTTATAGGATGTACACGCACTGCTGCAACTGAACATTAGTGGTGGAGCGAGTGACTATTTGTGGATGTGGTGCCAATCATGCTGGCTGCTTTACACTCCTTCTGGAATGAATCTTTGCAATCTGGAAACAGATGCAGTGGCTTTTGTTGAGGTTTTGCTGAGCAGTAGGACTCTGTGGTGTATGGGCGATTTCCAGGGACATGCAGCAAGACAAACATAATTGCTGCTGAGGACCATCCACTCAGCTGTAGACATTCTTCGGTCTGTCTGAAACTTGCTGATCTTCCATGCGAAGAGCTGGTGACTGTCGCATGTATTGACTATATTGACTGGCACATTCTAAGGTCCAGGACTATGTGCTGGAGAGGCACACTATAATTTGGGCCAGACTCTGCAGAGTCTCAATGGGGAAGGGCCACTGTCTAATACACTCCCGCCATAGTGTAGTAATGAGTTGAAATATGCGTAAAACCCCTAAGGCTATATGTCACGCATTGTGTATTGTAAATATAACTTGTGATTGTAAATGCAGGGAAGGACTGTAGAGTGCCGTACACTGTACAGAATCGAGAATAGTTGAACTGTTTTTGCTCATTACTTCATGACAAATTTGCACAGTTATGTTAAATACCTTTATAAATTTATACTTTTCAAGATCTATCCATGTCACTTCAAAATATCAGTCATGCCTGACACTTTCACAACATTACCAAACTGGTTTATCCATTTACAGAGAAAATTCTAACAGAGGCAAGCCACTACAAGTTATAACTGGTTAATTACAGTAAAACAATAGTTTTGAGCCAGATTACAGAAAGATTTGCAATTCCTCTTACGAAACAGTAAAACATCTCATAATTTGTGTGGTTCCACTGTGAATGGGAATAGCGACTCACAACTCATTCAGACTTTTGTTTCTGTCTCACAGCCATATCACTCTGCTTCTTGAAGTATGAAATTGTTTGTTATTTGATCTCTATTACCTTCCATACTACCTCAGATCTTCTCTTTTGTTCTTCCTGCTCTCTCCTTCCTTCCACTCGTGTAAGAATCTGTCCCAAAGTGCTTTACAGCCAATGGAGTGTTTTTGAAATGTAGTGACATTTATAATACAGGAAAGATGACTGGCAATTTGTACACACTAAGTTGCCATAAACACAAAAGAGGTAAATTACCAGGTAATCTCTTTAGTGATGTTAATTTAGCAATAATTATTATCCAGTGCTCTGAGGAGAACTTGCATCACTTCTTCAAATAATGCTGCGGGACTTTTGTATCGAGCAGTAGACTGATTATGTCTCAGTGGTAGCATTCTCAGTCTCAAGGTGGTGGACACGTATCCATTATGGAAATTTGATCATGAATTCTGGGCTGACAGTTCGATACAGTGCTGAGGAAGTGCTGCATTGTCAAATGAAACATGATACCAAGGCTCTGTCTATCCTCTCAGATGGGAAAGCGCAGTTATCACCAGTATCCAAGCCAATCCCTTGTGGAAAATCACCAAAACGAAATGATTATCTGGTCATTATTATTGTTTGTGGGAGCTTGCTGTGCACAAGTGGGCTGTGATATTGACCACTTGGTGACTAAAGAATTCCATTGGTTGTAAAGTGCTTTGAGATATTGTGATATAAGTTGTATAAAAACAAATGTCTTGTAAAGCACAGCATTTGCCCTTTCACCCAAAAGCATCATTTTAGGATTATTTGGCACTGACCATCTTTCATTCATTGTTAATAACGCCAACAATCACACACAATTTTCATATATCCCTAGCTTAAACTTTAACACAGCCATTACCTCCAGTGCTGTTTCCACTTGACTCCTTGGTTGCTGAACTAAGACAACAAGTTTTGAGTAATAACCAGCCACTGAGAGTTTTGGACCACAGTCAGACAACTGCACTCGTGGGACATCCAACAGAACATAGACATGAAATGGAAAGTAGAGAGCAAGTACCTGGATGCAAGCAGGCACAGAGAGTGAACCAGGATTGCGGTTTGTTTGCAGTAATGCCAACAGGAAAAGTGTGCAGTCAGCCTGTCAGTGAAGCACTGACTGCTATAAGCACTTCCTGTGTTGCAATTGGACCTGTTGTTAAAGCTGCACAGTCCCTCGGGCCAAAAAACATTCCATAACGTCAAATAGCTTTCAGAATCTCACTGCCCCCTTGGCACATGTTTCATAACAAAAAAAGTTGGGAGAAGGTTGCATCATTCAATCACAGAAATAAGCATTGCAACTGGAAATAATTAAATAATACTGTGTTGATATAATTAACATTGTACAACAGGACAAAAGGAATGCAGTCACAGTCATTATGTCAGCAAATGTGGCAGCTATTCCACCTCAGCAGCATCATACAAGTAGGAGTGGGATGACCCAGTTATTCTTGTTGATGGTGTTCTTGATTGTTTTGAGGGATGTGGGCAGTACTGCCAAGGCCAGCATTTGATACCCATCCCTAATTACCCTTGAACTGAATGCCTTGCTAGGCCATTACAGACAGCAGTTGAGTGTCAATCATGTCCCTGTAGATCTTGAGTCATACATAGGCCAGACCGGATAAGGATGGGCAGATTTCTTTTGATAAAGGGCATTAAGAATAGAATAGAATCCCTACAGTGTGGAAACAGGCCCTTCGATCCAACAAGTTCACACCGACTCTCAGACCATCCCACCCAGACCCACCCCACTATAACCCACCTAATCTACACATCCCTGAATACTATGGGGCAATTTTTAGCATGGCCAATCCACCTAGCCTGCACATCTTTGGACTGTGGGAGGAAACCGGAGCACCCAGAGGAAACCCACACAGACACGGGGAGAATGTGTAAACTCCACACAGACAGTCGCCCGAGACTGGAATTGAACGCGGGTTCCTGGCGCTGTGAGGCAGCGGTGCCAACCACTGAGTGAATTAGTGAATCAGCTGGGTTCTTCCAGCAGTTAGCAATTGTTATATGGCTATCATTAATGACACCAGCAGCTGTTATGGTGGGATTTGAACTCACGTCTCAGAACATTAACCTCAGCCTCTGGATTGCTAGTCCAATGACATTACCATTACGCTGCCGGCACCACCCCAGTGTAAAAGTGAAAGGGAAGACCACCCACCTGGAGAGTTCAGGGATCTTCTTTGAGTAATAAAAAGATATCCACACCTGTCTACATCAATGCAGGCCATGTGATCCTGGAGTGAGGAACCGAATCCATACTGCCTTCTGACTGAGAGGTGAGGCTGGTGGACTCCAGACTGGATGTAGACTGGGATCCAAATCACTGTGTCCTACACAGCAATCAATGTCCTCTACATGGTCCCTGACCTCAGCCAGACTAGGAATTAGTTTTCCACGGATTTTGAGAGTTCTGGCTGATGTACCTGATTCTTCAATCCAAGTAAATTTTTGACAAGTAAATAGTTGAAGAGCTATTTGTGTCTAATCATATCTACAAGCAAAGAGCTCAGACCCAGCCTTTGATCACTGGTTTAATCGCACCAATAGCTTGCACTGCCACTGGCTAGAAACATAGCTATTTCAGGACACTCTGGTTATTTCCAACGGATTCTTGAGAACTCTCTCCCTTTAAACTACCTGCATTATTCTTTTGACTTCAACAACTTTTGTTATAATGATTCTTCTTGGTATGCTTTTAACATTAGAATTCTGTCACAGAATTCTGTCTCCTATTCCCCTGACTCTCTCAGTCAACAAGTCTGGATACTTTCCTCTTAGTGCTGGGACTCTGCAGTTGAGTCTTGCAGTCAGTCTCCTTCTGCCTGACCCTGCTGTCTAGATACTTCAGTTTTGGACCCACACTCTGCATTTAGTGGTTTTGTTCCTGATGTCTCTGTTGTATATGTTCTATCTCAGAGTTATGCAAAGAAGACTCTAGTTTCTCCACGGGTAACAAGTTTTATTCTTAAATGTTTAAAATGTCTATTCTGTGCTCACAGCTCAGGCCTTCAGCTCCTTCTACATCTTAGTTTGCTTTACTCTGACTCTACGCCCAGATTTAACCAATCAAGCACAGTGAACAGCAGTAGTGGACAGATTCACATAATCAAAGACAGAGAAATTGAACCCTATTGACTGGGTTCATAATCTCCTATCATTACAAAATATTTAACTCCCTTATGCACATCTAAAAGTGCAAACATGCAAATTAGGAGTGAGAATCAGGCCTGCTCCACCGTTCAATAAAATCATGGCAGATCTGATTGTAGCCTTGACTCCACTTTGCTGCCTGTCTCTGATCACCTTGGATACCCACGTGAGTCAAGAATTTATTTAGCACAGACTTAAAAAGAGATATTGGATGTGCCTTCACAAATCTCTGAGGATTCACACTCAATATTTTACTTCTCCCATGCTGCTTTTATTTTCCAGTTATAGCCCAATGTAAATCACTTTCAGGTCCCAAGCTAAATATTCTCACTTCTGAACTCTCCAAGATTTGGAGGATTTTGTTTTGCTGCAGACCTTATTGAGGTGTTATTGAGGTCTTTCAGCCTAGCATGGCGGTCTCTTGGCCTGGTGTGGTGGTCTCTTGGCCTGGCGTGGCGATCTCTTGACCTGGTGTGGTGGACTCTCAACTGATGTGGTAGACTCTTGGCTCGGCATGGCGGTATCTCAGCCCCCAGCGTGGCAGATTCTCACCAGCATGGCAGACTCTTAGCCTGGCGTGGCGGTCTCTCAGCCTGGCATGGTGATCTTTTGGCAGTCTCTGAACCCGGCGTGGCCTCAGCATGGACTTCCGGTCTCGAGGTGATTCCTGGAAGTGCTGTCCCACCATGGCTAAACACTTAAGAAAAACTGTAATGTTTGAACTTTCATCTTTATTTCTTTATTTTCTACTTCAAACTAAGAAGGTCTGCATGTGAAAACCTTTAACCTTTTTTGGTATGTTCTGCGCTACACCATAATTACTGCAGTGTTTAACTTTTAACTTTGTTCTATGTGTGGCGACATTATACACTTTTCACAGTACTCCCATACTTTTGTACTTCAGGACACACGACAATAAAATCAAAATCAAATCAAATTTTTAAAATTACAGTGGAAGGCAAGAGACTTTAATCAGTGAGGAAGGAGCATGGATCTAGCAGCAGGAGTTGGCTTGGAGAGTTTTGGGAAAAGCAGATATGTCCTTTCGACTGTTGCTGGAGACCTGAATAGAAGCAGAGAGAGAAGTATCAGATCCTTCAGTTGGAGCACCTCACTCTGTTCATTGATGAATCTAAGGAATCAGCAATAAATCTTTAAATCATTTGAGCGGCTGCACTGCCAGCAGTGAGAGTGAAGAATTTGTTCTAGTTTCAGAAACATCTAAACCATCTGGCCAATCCTTTGCAGCACACACATATGCCAGATACCACCCCATTGCCTTTGGCCTCAAGGGGCAGCTTATGGCCAGCAACAAAGACTTAAAGCAAATGCCTTTTGTGCAACTTGCCCCCATCCAAGTGCTGTGCAATCCCAGGCCAGTGAGGACAGATCAAAGGGTGAGGAGTGATCTGCCTCACTCACGCCCACCTCTGCCCCGTTAAAAAAAAAGTGAATCACAGAAACTTCATAAAAAATAATTCGCGGGAAGTGGGTGTGGCTGGTTAATCCAGTGTTTATTGCCTATCCTTAATTACCTGGAGAAGGTGATGGTGAACTAACTTCTTGCAGTCATTTTGGCATAAGTACACCCACAGTGCTATTAAGAAGGGAGTTCCTGGATTCTGACCTTGTGCAAGTGAAGAAATCCAATTTACTTCCAATTCAGAGTGATGTGCCATGTGGAGAGGAGCTTGCAGGTAGTTGTTTTTACATATATCTGTTGCCCCTGTGATTCTTGGTGGTAGAGGTCATGGGTTTGAAAGGTGCAGTTGGAGGAGCCTTGGTGAGTTGGTGCAGTGCACCTTGTAGATGGTACACACTGCTGCCACTGTGTGTCAGTGCTATAGGAAATGAGTGTTGGATGGGGTACCAAACAAGTGAGTTGCTTTGACCTGGATGGTGTTGAACTTCTTCAGTTTGAGTTGCACTCATCCAGGCAAGTGGGGAGCATTCCATTACACTCCTGATTTGTGCCTTGTAGATGGTAGACAAGCTTTGAGGAGCCAGGAGATAAGCTACTACCTCAGAACTCCCAGCTTCTGACCTGCACTTGTTTATATACTAGTCCAGTTCAGTTTCTAGTTCATGGTAACCCCCAGGATACTGTAGGTCAGGATTATGAGAAAAGAACAGGAGTTTGGGATTAATCACCCTGGGGATTGTTCAGTGATGAAGTGTGGAATCACTTCTTCACACAAACTGGAGTCAAAATCTGGAACTCTTTCCTAGTACAAAGCTGTTCAGGTTGGGGACCAACTGGAAGAAATGAAATCCAAGCTCGACAAGTTGGTCGGGCGGCACAGTGGCTCAGTGGTTAGCACTGCTGCCTCACGGCACCACGGGCTTGGGTTTAATTCCATCCTCAGGTGACTGTGTGGAGTTTGCACATCCTCCCCATGTCTGTGTAGGTTTTGTCTGGGTGCTCTGGTTTCCTTCCACAGATGTGCAAGTTAGGTGGATTAGCCATGGGAAATGCAGGGTTGGGGGTGGTGGGTCTGGATGGGATGCTCTTCAGGGGATCGGTGTGGACTCACTGGGCCGAAGTGGCCTGCTTCCACACTGTAGGTATTCTATGATTCTAACCAAAGTTCTTGTTAACGAAGGCAATTAGCTATTACACAGTCACAGTGGGTACACGGTGTTAAGATACAAGTCAGCCATGTTCTAAGTGATTGAAAGAACAGATAAGATGGCCCGAATGGCCTTCTGTTCCTATGATGAAGAAAACAGCAGGCCACCATCAATGAAGTAAACAGTTAATTCCTATTCTCTTGTACAAAAATTTGCAAGTCAGAAACCAAGAGTCTT